GAGCCAGCCACAACCAAGCAGGCAGTAGCAGTGGGAGAGCTGCTCCATGCTGCAGCTGCCTGCTGTTGGGGGCAGGGAACTGCTAACTTGGGTCCCTGGCCCCACAGTCCTGGGAGATGGGGACCCCTCTGGCAGGGCTGGGGGCATGAGTAGGGTGGTAGACTGTTGTGGAGGCAATGAGGGGCACCAGCACAGCTGGGGGGGCCTGCAGGGGGCTTTTAATTTTAATAATGGATTGGGGGGGGGTTAATGAGAATTTGCAATTTTTTTTTTTGGTCAGAGAAAATTGGGATTCCCTATTACAAACATTTACAATTTTTCCACAACAGGGGCTTTACTGATGTGGCATGTGACAACGTGAGCATCATAGGTGTGGTGGCCAGAGCTGATGAAACAAGTATTTTGAGAGCCTATTCTTTTAACCTTTAATATATACTTGTTATCCTCCTTCAGGAGTCTGCTTTGTACAAAAGATGATACTTTAAAAATCTTCTAGTTGAAGGCATGTGCTAGGACAGCTCCATTTATATGTATTCACTGTGGTTACCTTGCAAAGCCTAAACACTGCATGTGTGTGTGGACAAAGTTGCTATAGTTTAGAGTAGTCATGCTGTATTACTAAGTTTGTGAATTGAAGCTCATCTAAAAATGTCCAATGAGATTGTTTGTTTTAAGAGATGTTCCTGATTTTTTTTATTTTAATTATGCAGGTTTGTTGCATCTTATACAGCGTTTTTCAACCTGTGTGCCGTGACCAAAAAGTGGGTTGCAAGAATATATGAAAGGGTCACAAACTTCAAAAACAGATAAAATTTTTTTAAAGGAGAAAAAAACATGGGGAACTGTGACTCTTCCCTTGCAGGCTTACACAGTTCCAGCCTGTGAGGGGCTGCTTGGGCCCCCCCTGCTCCATACACTGGGAGGCTGGGGCTGGCTATTGATGTTTACAAGTAAGTCCTGGTACAAAAAAAAGGTTGAGAACCACTGCTTTAGAGCAGTTGTCAAACTCAACCCCTACCTCTGGATCTAGCCCATGAGGTGCCCTGTGGAAAGGAACAACACAGCCATCACTTGCGTTTGTTTGCTAACTGGAGACATACCCCCAATGGGAGTGCCCATAGGCCAGATGATGCAACTCCAACTGAACCTAACCTCTGGGATAAGTTTGACACCCCTGCTTTAGAATAAAGTATCTTAGGACAGAAGTCTCACTTTACCTCAGGGGGACCTTCCTCCTATAGAATGGAAAGAGAGACCGACAACTGCTGATAGAATACAATTTTAATAAGTCAAATATACAGTCATATGAATTCCATCAGTACAATCTAACATATTTCCAATGAGAACAAGGACAAGCCAAGACTAAAATAAATATTATGCCCTGCTTTTATAAGCATAATGTGTTTTGAGAAAGTAAGTGCAACATTGTGTAAATCTTTTATCTATAGCAGCAGTATAGCAGAATTACATGCCAACTGTCCTCTGGTAGCATGGGACAGTCCTGCAAGAATTAAAGTTTAATGTTTCAGCATATTGATTTTATACTACAACTATAGCGCAATTATGAAGTTGTTCATATATTGGAAGCCTGTGCAAAGCCACTACTCCATTCCTTTAGGCTGCTTCTTGAAATTCATGCAGCATTGGGATTGTTTTAATCTGGCTTCAATCACAGTCATCCCTGTTCAATAGTTAACTTTATTATTTATAGCATCTTTTCAGATCCTTAAGCCAGAGGCTATACACATTACTTTGTTTAGGGAGGAAAAAAAAAAAAAAAAGCATGCAACTTTCATGGAGTTGGCAGTAGAAGCTTCAAACAATGCTTTTGGAAAAAAAAGAAAGTTACCCCTCAACAGATATGGGGCATTCCCCATATTTGCAAATTCACTCATAGTAGAGATCACTTAAGTTACTGATGTAGTTTGAGAGAATCTTAAATCTTGAAGGAGGTTATGTTGATTTCTTTAAGCTATCACAGCACTTACTCTTATGAATATAGCAAGAATTCTGCTTTGTCCTCCAAAAAAGAGAAAGATAGTCAGCAGCCTTAAATTTGTTGCTACCACATCCCCTTTTAGTTTCATTAAAGCTTAATATGATCAGGAATAGTGGCTTTTTTCATACCATTTCTGTTTTCACATATCAAAGCTGTAGCAACTTAGACTGAGCCCAAATGGTCC